AGGGTTTAGGGTTTCGGGTTTTAGGGTTTAGGGTTTTAGGGTTTGGGTCGGGGGTGTCGAGGCTTCACGATCTTGAAGAGGGTTCCGCTAAGGGTTGCTATATCAAGGGTTTCTTTAGGTGTTACTATAAGGGTTTGGGGACCTATATAGTAGAAAGTTTGGTTCCATAAACCCTAAACCCTAAACCGTAATTTCTGTGGTTTGGCTACGCATCCTTCAAATTATATTGACTTAGGATCCTTTGGGTGGTTATCCTCCTTTTCGGATTCCTATTCAAGGACCCTACTATAGAACCCCATCGTACCCTATAGAACCCTCTAAAGGAACCCTACGATCCCTATTATAGTACCCTGTAAGGGTGTTATGGGCGGCGAAGGGTCTGCCGTTCAGGGATCCTCACGGGTTTCTTGTAGGATTCCTGTAGGGATTCCTTTCGGAGCTCCTTCAGGGGTTGCCATCGGGGGGTTTGGGGTTTAGGGGTTTAGGGTTTAGCTGGAGTCTAAACCAGGAACCGCAAAGGTCCTTCAGTGGGCCTCAAAGTGCAAGAAAAACACTGGCTCACGCAGGCCTCAACCGTTGGAGGAGCGAGTGGACCGCTATGAGCCGAATCGCTGCCAACTCTTGAGTTCTTCTACGGCCCGGACCTGGTCCAGCCCCGACCAAAGCCTGCTAATGCAGACTTCCGCGACACGACAATGGCGGAGCCTTGCCTCCAACTCCTGGGCCTAGAAGTGGTGTCTCTTGCTGACAGTCGGTCTTGGCCGAGCTCTTGGCTCTGCCAGCTCGATATACTATAAACCCTATGAGTCCTAAACCCTAAACCCTAAACCCTAAACCCTATGAGTCCTAAACCCTAACCCCTAAACCCTATGAGCCCGAAGTCCCCTAGGCCCTCAACCCACGGTTCTCCTGCAACCAGCCGGAGCATGTCGTATTGCAGGCTGAAGCATCAGTAGTGTTATTCCCTTACCGCCCCTGTTGCTTTTAAAAATTAGACCCCTCCCTCCCACGCAATACCCTGTTCTCGTTGTTAAGACATAAGACGCCTATTTTGTAGTCTCGATGTACCCCCGCCCGGATGCAGAAGAGGAAGGATCAGGCCGCCTTCCATACAAGCCGCACAGAAACAGTGTATAGGAATATTGTACCCGGAGGGTCCTTACGCACCACCTGTATGGAATTGGGTCCTCAAAGACCGTCCCACGAATGCTTTGGGGGACATAATTCCTTGACAGGATTGTCGTATGATATAGTATACATTCTACCAGAAAAGTTCCACATTAGTGCTCTTTGGAATCACTGTGTCAGTGTATTTTTCTGACGCTATCAAACTCCAAGGGCTTATTGAAAATTGCATTGTCATTCTAAGCCCCAGCGTGCGTAAGTTTTACACTACTTTATGTTAAGTGCCCCTCCACGTTTCCAGGTATATTCCCTGATTAAGAGGCTCCGGTCTCTCGAGCACCTTAAGACCTTGTCACAATCATGCTGACACGTGAACAGCCCCATATAACGCTATCATCCTTGACGAAGCTTGAGACAAGCTTATGGTCCTTATCCTCAAGGGTCCAAGTACTTAATTTCTTTGTTCTTTCCCGAATACCAGCCTGCAAACCTACTATCGGAGGGCTCATGGGACTTGGTAAGTACTAATTGGGGTTCTCAGTGCCCGAAGGAGGGTTATCCTTATTTGTAAGCTTACTCAAAACAGTATTTACTAAGTCCCATGAGCATTTAAGTATTCTAACTCTAAGCGCAAGTACCTAACTATTCCTTCGAACCCCTAGCCTTAGAGCCAGCCCCTAAACCCTCACCCTTTATAAACCCTAGAACTCCTAAACCCTAAGCCCCAAGCCCTAAACCCTAGAACTCTGAAGCCCTATAAACCCTAAATCCCCATGCCCTAAACCGTAAACCCCTAAACGCTACTGGTAGCGCCCCAAGCCATGTGTCTTGTCCCTATGACCTAATAATCATATACTCTCCCAGAGTAGGCTACTGTCCGAAACCGAAGTACCTGATTATTGGGCCCTTTGGACCCTTAGGGCTAAACCCGAAACCCCTACATACACCCTAAACCCGAAACCCTAAACCTTAATCCTAACCCTAAACCCTAAACCCCCTTTGGACCCTTCGGGGCTGCATTTAAAAAGGTCATGTGGTCCTTACCCTAAACCCCACATCCTAAACCTTGACAGGTTGGGGGTTAGGGTGGTCCCTATCCAGTAGCATCAAAATAACCCCCAAGCCGTATATAACAGGCTCTTTGGGCCCACAAGCCGTTAAATATAGGTCCTGTCAGTGTTTAGGGTATGAAAGCAGAAGCACTAAACCCTAAACCCTAAACCTTAAGGTCAGGGTTTAGGGTGGTCCCTATGTAAGCAGAAGCAGAGAAGCGCCGGGAAGGCTAAACCCCACACCCTAAACAGTAAGGTTGGGGCTGAGGTGGTTCCTAGGAACCCAGAGACTCCAACATCCCTTAATTAAGGAATATATTTTAAATTATAGTAGGATCCCTAATATGATGTAAGGTATATTCCTTAACTAGCAGATATTGGAGTCTGTGGGAAAGCAGAAGCAGAGAAGCGCCGGGAAGGCACTGTTTGTCGGTGGCTCACGCGAGGAGCAGGAGCGGCACTTGTCGTCTCTTGCGGACTCCCAGTAAGTTGTCACACTTTAGTCTAGGGTTGAGGGTTTTAGGGTTTTGGGCTATGGTTTAGGGTTTTAGGGTTTTGGGTTTAGGGGTTTAGGGTTGAGGGTTTAAGGTTTTAGGGTGTAGGGTTTTAGGGGTTTGGGGTTTAGGGTTGAATATTTTTGGGTTTAGGGTTTAGCGCTGAGGGTTTAGGGTTTAGGGTTTAGGGGTTTAGGTTTTAGGGGTTTTGGGTTTCGGGTTTCGGGGTTTAGGGTTTTGGGTTCAGGGTTTCGGGGTTTACGGTTGAGGGTTTGGGGTTTAGGGTTGGGGTTTAGGGTTTAGGGTTATAAAGGTTGAGGGTTTACGGTTTGGGGCTTGCTCTTCCGGATATAATAGTAAGGTTTGGGGGCATCTTTAGGGGTTCCTTCAAGGGTTACAATAAGGGATCTTTTTGAAGCTTTGGAGTTTAGGGTTTGGGGTTTGGGGCTTAGGGTTCAGGGTATAGGATTAGGTCTTTGGGGGCCTTGGTTAGGGTGCGGATTGGGGTTTCTTACACTCCCCCAAAACACTCGATTGTGTTCAAATGCCCACTGTGAAGTACCACCAGGGATACCCTAAACCCTAAACCCTACACCCTAAACCCTAAACCCAATAGAAGGCACTGGGGGTCCTGGTTGGGCTTTATACGTGGGCTTAGGTTTCGGCTTAGGGTTTAGGGTTTAGGGTTTAGGGTTTACGGTTTAACGTTTATGTCTTGAGTGGTTAAGGTTTGGAGTTCGGGGGTTGATTTATGAAGGTTTTGAGCCTTGGCTTAAGGCCAAGGCCTTCTTGGTTACCTCGACCCCAAGGACCCTTTGACATACCTTATAAACATCCACTAATAAGGGCCATAAGGGCTCTATTAAAAGGCTACTTGGGAGGTCCTGGTTCGTAGTGTCTTGGGTTTATGGCATTGTTTATGAGCCAGGACTTTAGCATTCAGGGCGTTGGCGTGAGGGTTTAGTGCTTAATATAAGGGCCCTAATCATTACCTGTACTATTTTGGCGGTTCCTCATTATACGTATATAGCAACAATATGCACCAACAACCGGCTCTAATTCTTAAGGCCCCTATTTTGGGGCCTGGAGTTGCGAGTTTAGGCCTCAGGGGTTGAGTTTTTTTTTGTTGCGTTTATGGCTCTGGGGGGGGGGGGCAAGATTTCGGGCTTAGGCGCCTCGAGGGTCACAAACTCAGACGGTTTAGGGTTTAGAGTTTAGGGTTGAGGGTTTAGGTGAGGTATGGGTAGTTTTCTCAAGTAGGGTCCCTTTTTAGGGTCCTCGTTTTAAGAGTGCCGTACTATTTTGGGGACCTAAAAAGGGGACCCTGATTTAGAGAACTACCCCTCTGCCCCAGGTTTTGGGTCCTAAATACCTCTGTAAACGGCCAGATTCCATGGTTTAGGGCACACCAACCCTAGGATTACAAAGGGCAACTCCCTGACATAGTTTTGGGGCCTCAATAATTAGTGCCGAAGCAGATTAGAGCATGCACGCGGACTTACACCTTTTTCCTCGGATCAACCAAACGACATGTCGTAGAGTCCTGAGCTGTACACTGCATTCTCAGACTATGACGCTACAGCAGTCTAACTTGGTACACTTCTTGATTTTTGCTGTGAAAGTCTGGGCCCCTGGGCTCTAAGAAGAAACCCCCGACCCACCGGTTTTCCAGCCTCCATGGCTACAGCCAAGCATGTTACACATGAGCACACACACAAGCTGCACAGTGCCGCTCTCCAAACACTCCCCCAAATGGAGATTCGCTCCATTTCCTGTGCGATGCCACTCTCGTCTCTCGGAAGCTTACCGCCTCCTTCACAAGTCATGACACACCCCATGGGCAACACCTGCACAGCCTTCGTGCCTCAACCTCTTCGGATCGGTCCAGGGCAGCGCAGCTTTCTGACAGGTGAACACACCTACCCGAACGCGTAAAGTATGCGATGTCCCCAGGATTCCTCCTAGGCAGGTGTCCTCCATTACTGCAGTGTGGGCACACATTACGCACTATCGGAACACTTGCAAACTGCATTGGTCTCGAGGTAAGGGTACTATGGACACAATCCCCATTCTTTGTCAAATATACTAGAGTACGTTGCTCTTGGGGAGGGCAGCTCATGAAAGCATCTTTCTTCAAACCATACGGCCGCTTCATACGATCTACAATAACCTGTCCTCCATCTCTGGTACTCGTACAGGTTGACAGCCCTCTATCCCCTGACTACTGGCAACTGCAGTCACACCCTGATGCGCATTCAGGGAGCTGACTACCGTGCTCTGCCTAACCCTATGGGTTTCACCCTGCATATTCGGTATCGGGCCTAAACCACTACTTGAGCCCCCAGAGCTCCTTTCCTTGTCCGGTGTCCTTGGCTCTACAGCTGTAGGGTTCAGGCCTACACCCCTAGGGAGGCCTACCGGGTCGAGTGGCCTGCTCGTCTGATGCGCGCACGGGGTAGGGTCTAAACCTTTAGGGGGGCAACGTGGGTCATGTCCAGCCCTTTCTCTTGTACCATCGGAATTCGGAGCTAAGGCTTCACGACAGTCTCCCATATCATTAGAAGACCCTGCTCCTAGGGGATCAGGCCCTAAACCCTCAGGGGGGCCTACTGGGTCGAGTGTTCTTCCTTTTTGGCGCACTTGCGGGTTCTGGCCTAAACCTTTAGGGGGGTCTACTGAGGTCTGTCTGCTGGTGCCCGTAACCCCTGTCCTGACTGTAACATTTAGAACCGGAGAGAACTGAAGCTTATCAGAACGACGTCTTCTCAACCCAGCAGTTTCAGCTGACCTTGGCGTGCTAGCCTCGTCACTCTTTTCTCTCCCAATGTCCTGAGTCACCTCACGATGGAGTCCACCCCATCTTATGCAAACACATGCTCCCAATGCACCTAGGGAACTGAAGCAGACAGCTAACAACAGCACACATACCCAAAACTCCCAAGTCCCATCTGAATCTTCAACATCAACCCTCCGACCCTGCACAGAATGCACAGAAGCAATCAGACTCGTAGCGATAATGCTGCCACCACTTCTTCGAGAATGACTCGAGCCTCTGCTATCCGAACTCAGACCCCTGGGCATCCCAGAGTCCGTGGTCCACTCACCAATTGAAGACTCCTCTGATTCCTGTTCCACATCAACGACATCATCAACATAAACCATCTGGCGACCTCTAGGGATGGGATTAGGGACTTCAGGGGGCATAGGTACAGTGGGTGCCCTGGCTTCTAACACTGCATGCAGAGGGTTCACTAAAGGAGTTTGGTTAGTATCCAATGCTCCCATGTATGCAAGCGCAGCATCATACTGCTCATCAGGCGTCGGAATTCGAACCTCCGGCGAACCAGCCCTATCAACCGGACCCGGTAAATCCCACAACCCTGACCCAGCACCTCTAGAATCAGTACCCCTATCAACCGCCTCTGCCTGTTCGCAGATGTCCTCATAGGTGCTTGCAAATCTTCGTATTATCACTTCTTCAGCCCGTGGGGATAGCTCCCAGTCCAACCCCTCTGACTGAATTGGAAAAGCCGAAGGCTCCCCCGGACCTAACTCAGTCTCGATATCGCACTGGGTTGCCTGAACCGCCTGATGGCACTGCGTTTGACAACGCGGGGTTCTCGGTCCTCTAGACACTGGAGGTCCACGGCAGTATTGATTCACAACTGCTCCCAACCGGCTTGCACACCACATACCACACCCAAGACCGAACCCTACCACAAAGCTGTACCACAGTATCTGAAGGTGATCAACCGCAACTCCCACACTCCCCGGACTAGCCTGGGCTCCCGACATCTGAATAATCAGTATTAAAGCAACCAACGCCTTGGCAACCCCATTATGATTACTGGTGATAGATGCCACTTGAGGCCGAGGAAGCGCCTCAGACTTAGCAAGATGTGGGGCCCAAAGATCACAAACCCTAATCAAGTCTTCCAGCCTAGCAGACCCTACAGCTTTAGTTCCAAGATCTGCTGGCATGAACACTCCCTCCAAATGCGACAGTTGCCACAGCCCCTCTTCCAGATCATGTCTGATGACAGCCCCACGGAGCCTCAAATGTCTTGTCCTCCATGATCCAGCTTCTAAAGCACACAGTTGGACCGCCGCCGCATTATCACAGTACAACCTGCAGTCAACAGCCGACTCTTTCACGTCAAGCAGTGCCGCAACCGTAGGTCTCATCGCCTTGCCCAACAAATGTCCTTCCGCTAAGGAGTAGAGCTCGCTTTCTGCCGTATGTGAAGCAATTAATGTTTGTCTGCTTGATACCCACGCAATCAAAGCTCCAGCCCAATACATATGGATGCTACCAAAACTTCGGCTCTGTTCATCGGCACAGAAGGACGCGTCCGTAAACACATCAATGCTGGCCTCAACTTCTTGGTACTTCAGTTGATCCCACTTTCCGCATTGCCCACTTGCTGAACCGTAGGACAGTCCCATCCTTGGGGCATGACGTAGGTAACGAATCAGGTGTTCAGCTCTAGCCAACGATTCTGCAGGGTTGCTCGTAATCTTCTGTCCAGCCATACTCACACCAAACGCCAAGTCTGGCCTTGTTCTGTTCGAAACCCACAAAAGCTGACCAACCAAAGTCTGAGCCCGTTTTGTCACTGTGTGCCTTTCTTCATCACTCTTCAGCTCACTGATCTCATAGGATTTTATTGCTGGAGCTATCTCTTCCCCCGTGATGTCCTCGCGGTATTGATCCAACAAGTCCATCACATAACTTGTCTGATGCAACAAGTATCCAGCCTCCGTTCGCTCCACTTGGAACCCGCTGAACTTCATACTGTCGCCGGGAGCAGACAAGTACTCGGGAGTAGATAATTGCCACGCAGATTTCATTGACTCAAATACAGCCTTCAGCAGCTCTGAAGGTCCCGCCGTCAAGATGTCATCAACATATAATCCAAGTAGACCCAGCATCTGAGCAGCCGAACCTGGCACCCCATCACCACCGAGCTCCTCAGTCTCGAACTGTAGCTTCCACATATTTGCATCCGCCGGCATTGGGACGCATCTGACATGGCCTCCCTTATAGGGAATTCTCAAGTCACGCAGCACCTTGTTCCTATGGGTAACCCAGCATTTGGGCGAGACTGCTAACCCATACATTGCCTTCTGTACGAGCCAGTAGCGCTCAGAACATACACCCGATGCCCTCATAATCTGCGGCACCTTCACCACTATTACCCTAGGTTTGCCTCCGCACTGACCAGCGATCACCGGAGCTTGCAGGAATGCTGCCTTTACGTCAGCGGTAGCCAGGTCCCAACCCCTCATCAAGGCTGCACGACGAACTAGCATACGGATTCCTTCCCCGCCTATTCCCGATGCAAATAGTTCGGTCTTCGAATGGCTCTCACTGCTCTGATGATTACCACAACACACGATACGCGCACGCCTCTTCCCGGTGGACTTGTGCACATACACCCCCTTCCCAGGGATGAGCTCAAGGGCAATTGATGTATCATTCAGCAACTCAGAGAACTCCTGGTCCGTAAGGGGTCTAACGGTACCTGAGTCCTTAGTTAGATTATCGTACTCTTCCTGCAAGGGCCCACACCACTTAGGCATCTCCTGGCGAACTTGCTCCTGAGAAATAATCTTTGACTGAAGAGGTGCTACATCCTCAGGGTCTGACAGGGTTGCCCCGTTACAGGGAGGACCAACTGGCTCGGCTGGACCCTCTGGTAAAGCATCAGGTGCCATATCAATCGATCGCACTGCTGGGTTGCAGCCAGGTTTCCACACAGTCTCTTCCAGTGACTGCAATGCTCTGACCTCAAAACCTTGCATTGCCTTAAGCTCCCTCTCTAGAGTCTTGACTTCATCCAACCAACCAGTCTCTATACTGCTAAGCCAACAGTCGTCACCACCCATCAGGGTCTCAAGCATCCTGCATCTGGCTCGGTGATCCGTGGCTAAGGCTTCAGCACAGGCCTCAACTGCCTCTCCCATCCGCCACGCTACACGTTCAAGGGAGCACGTGATCCCCGTCACGCCCTGAGACACTGGACACAACTGTAAGTCCCGGGATGCAGAGGGCACATCATATGGCATTGGTTCTCTTTCAGCTTCGTCTTCTTCAACATCCCCAACTACCAGCTTACAGCCCTCAGCAGCTAACCTGCGGAGTTCTATTCCCAAGCACGCATACATCACCGACCTGGGGCATTTTGCAGGAAACTCTTCGCAGACCGTAACCTTGTCCCTAGCCCCAAAGACTATCTCTATCCCCTTACCCGGCGTTTTCACCAGATCATCACACCTTAGCCGCGGAACCTGACCTGCCTCTGTGAGATTGCTGCCTTCTGTCAAGTTCGTAGAGCATCGCCTCTCCGATGTGCCAGCCTTTTGGGTTGTCCTGATTTCCGCCTTTACACTGCACAACCGAAACCTCGCTGCGTATCTAGCTCCCCAAGTGCTAACCGGCGCCGGTGAGAGTGCCGTCCTCGCCCTACTCGCGGTATGATACATCGGCACCTGGTTCTCAAGCCCTTCTTTCCTACTCACTCTAGAAGTACTTCGCCCTCTGACGATTTCCTCACCTCCCGGAACGGCTCCACCATTCTCCTTCCGAAGCCCCACATACGATGCTTCAACACTCCTTGCACGGGGTTTCTGAGGGCTTCCATATCTCACAGCGACCTTAGAGGACCTTTCCGCCCTCCTCAAGTCCTCTTCTGGCCAGGATGCCCGGATCATCGAGAGACGTTCCCCTTCATGATCCAACTCAATCACACTATCATGCTTCCAATCTTTTAGCTGCCCAGGCGTCGATAGAGAAGAAAACTGCGGTGATTCCCCCCCCCCATCACAAGCCTGGGATGGGGCCTGCAACCGAACCTTAAACACCGAACGGCCCGTCCATGTTGATGTGGAAGCACGACCACGTCCCTCACGCCACTTATGAAACGTACGCACCGTCGGGTGGCCTGGAAACTCCTGTATGCACATCCGCAAATCTCCAATATGATCCCTGGGAATGGGCAATTGATCTTGCTCAGTGGGTGCAAACATTTGACGTCGGGGCAATGGATGATACCTTACCAATATATTAGAGGAGGTTCTGAACCCCCAATACTCAGTCTTGGATCCTGGAATATACGTAAATCCCGCTTCCCACAATGTCATCACATCAGACTTGTCCAACCTATGCAACCCTCGCGCCGTGTATGCGAACAACAAGAGCTGAGGGCCCTCAGACGGCACTGACTCGTGCCACACATGAGGGTGGAACATCAATGGCTCGTGTGATTTGTACTGGAAGACCTTACCTTGCACCCGGGATCCATTTGCCAGATAACGCTCGGCTTGTACCCCTTCAGACGTGGAATCCGTATCCGTTCCGGACCTGTCTTGAACCCAAAGACCTCCGCCTTGCGCCACAATCGGCAGCACGATGTTCGGGACTCCCCTCTGGTTGTGCACATCTCGGTGCATCGTGTGATCTGTGTTGAGTGACAACCCTATACCCGCAAACGGCTCGTCCGTGTGCCTCGCCATATACTTGGTAAGATACTGGGTTACAAACCAATGGCACTTAGTGTCACTGCGAACACCTGTCATACCCCCAAAAGTAAACCCCCCACTAAGGAAAGTCACCTTGGGACGGCTCTTGATGCCTTCCTGTGCTCCACTTTGGCTCTTGACCATGCGTTCATTCGAATTCACAGTCTTAGACAAACACAGAGCCAATGACGCCAAGTCCCGAGGCTCCCACTTATCCTCATCCATCAACTTCTTGGCCAATTGGTCTGCTGGATGCTTTGGGATCATGGGTTCACTTAGGGTTCCAACTTTTCTTACCTTGGTTTTTTCCTTCAACCTGGTGGATGGAGCATCAAGATCAATCGGAAGACCGGCTACCTCAAACTTAATCTCCGTGTCTATTGCAGGAAAAACCTTACTCGTTGTGAACATTAACCCTTCCTCAGTTTTCACAACCCAACCCCTAGCACTGCTCGCTGATGGGCACTTTGTGTACGCAGAGGTTGTACGTGACTCCCACACACCTCTTCGCCACGACCTCTGCAAAACCTGAGCCTTGGTGTTGAAGGGCAATGTTGGCTCCGCAGGAAGCTTCAGACGCGCCCTTGCAATACCTCGCAACTGATGCGCTGCTAGTTTGGCTGCCAGCGGCCATTCCTTCAAGTCATCTTGCCCTGCTGCATGAAGTATGGCACGAGTTTTGCTTTTGATCCGCAGTATCGCTCCTTCGGCCCTGCCATTGGTCTGGTGCTCCTCTGCTAATGCGAAGGTTTGATGCAATGCAAATCTACTGCAAAATGCCTTAAGCGCCGCATTGTTAAACTCCCGTCCGCGGTCCGTATGCACTCGCCTTACATCATACCCATCACTGATGGCCTTTGCGTACATGCGGCTTACCGCTGCAGTAACCTCCTGTTGCCTCTTAGATTCTACTGCCTCCGTAAACAGCACATCTACCATCTCAACCTTTGGAAGATACTCGGACTTTGCTTCCCGGAGCCAATCCTCGCGGCTGGCCCTGACCACCTTTTCCCAGCTATTCCAAGATTCCTTGGCTTCCTTGAGTTCCCTCTGCGAAGGCTCCGGCAGCGGATCTTCAAGCTCGACCCCCCGATTCACGAACCACTCGCGGTCCTCTAATCCTTTAGCAAAACTTTCCACCGTAATCAAAGGGTCTCTATCTGCTGGTTCATCTACCGCACTTCCATTTGCGGACAAGATCGGCACAGACAATACTCCTACCAACAGGTACTTAGCCTTGTTAGTCCCCTCATCCAAACCCAAAGGAAACGGTCCCGTAGTGTCCACACTAAGAGTCCACCCTTGAGGTGCTAAGACTTTCCTGTGTTGCCTCTGGCGTGCGCCTCCCTGAACGCAGTACTTACAGTCGCGCCGATACGGAGTATGATTATTCTTCAAGTGCTCCAAGAAACCTGCATCTACCGTCTTCACCTTGAACTCAGGTCCTGCTGTAAGCTCTTGAAACGCTCGCCATAACATGTTTCCTATGGCACACTGCAGGCCCGGAGACCATCCTGCCCAGTTCTGCTGGCTTCCAAGGTTACCACCAGAAACCTCCGGAGTGTCTCCTTCTTCACTCCAGCAGTCAAGCAGCACAGGATCCGGGGATATGTTACTACTAAGGGTCGTAGGGCGCTTTTTGCAATGGCCTATTACGCCCTGATGGAAGGACACCCTATGCAACCCCGCAAACTTCTCCAACGCTTCCCACTCTGGCACCGCCCAGATCGATGCAAACCCAGACTCAGGAGGGTTCAGGCTCTGCATCGGGTATCCACCCCGAAGATCCTCCTGAGGGTCCTCCGGATTCTCAAACACCAAAGACGGCTCCTCCTGTTGCCTAGCGCGGTTTGCCGCCGTGGACACTACAGTCAGAACCATTATCCGAAGAATGAGCAAATCATCCATTCTGCGCTGTGCCTGTTCCCGACAATTCAAGTCTTGGATCCCATAATCACCCAAGCTTTCCCCTCTGAGCCTGAGCGGTCGGTGAAATTGCTCGCCCCCTTCTTTGAGATACCTACTCCATGCAAACGTACGATACGGCAAAGCTCCAACGATACCCCTGACTCGCCCTTTAGACGCCTGTTGAAGCAAGTATCGGAACGTGCTATCCGACAGGAGGTTCTCAGGCCTCTCAACAGTGAGCAACGCAAGCTTGCTCCGATCCGCCAACCCTTCAAAGGCACGCTTACACCCAGAGCTAAAGAGGTGAACTAGAATCCCGCTTGCCTGATCACATCTACGCCTCATTCGCCTGTTCCAAGCAAACGACTCTCCCTCTTGATCTTGCAGAGACACTGCAGCTTGGGATAGCAGCTCACGGTCGACACTGGGAAACACCTTCGTCAACAGAGTCTGCATTGCCGCATCAGCATGTGAATCCCGCTGCACTATGAGATCTGCTAAGTCCTCTTGGCTTAAGGTTTCAAGATCCCTCATGATGCAATGCAACCTGGCGCTCCGGTGTTCGTTGCGCTCCACCAAGGACTCGTATTCCTTGATCAACGCCAATGCCTCCTGCTCAGACACCTCTGGGCAACCAGAGCTCGAATCAAGATCCAACTCACCCCTGTTCGGGTGCCAAATCCGACACTTAAGGGAATCCCACTCAATCTTAAAACCAAGTGCCAGCAATGCCCTCACTGACAAAATAGGCGAGACATGTGTCTTGCTGAGCAATGTTCCCTGAGGGTTCACTAGAAGCTGGCATCCACCAAAGGCAAGCTTCACATCCACAACGGGCATATCCTGCTCATGAGCCTCCGCTGTTCTAAGACACGATGTCGCTCCCCCGTCTATAAGCCCTCGGGGTTCCCCACGATGCGCCCTACACAACAATTCGGTTGCTGTCCTGATGAAAGGCTTCAATGCTGCCAGGCGCATACTTTGCAATAGCTGTGCCGCTTCTTTTATGGCATCTTGGCTAAGGCCCGTAGTCTGTTGTGCTGCAGCTTTCGCCACAGCTTTCCCCTTTCCTTTTTCCCCCCTGGCTGGGTCCGCTGCTCCTTGCTTTCCTTTTCCCTTAGGATTCGCTTCCGTAGATGGGGGTTTCTGGTACTTACCACCTCCCGGTGCCGTGCAATCCATCTTCTGGTGGGCGCCCCCACATGACCAACATTTGCCTGGCCTCTCCACCGTGTGGGCAAACGTACACGTTTTACCAAACCGGCAGCCCTTATCTGTCACCCATCCAGCACATGGCTTCTTTGCTCCTGCACCAGGCTTCCCATCTGCAGTTGGGGCTGTCGGCTGCTCGGCTTTCCCACCTCCAGTTTTTCCTCCGGTTTTTCCTTTTCCCGAACCATCCGTTCCAACAGAAGCAACCCGTTGTCGCTTAGGGGCGGTGTCTGGCATCGCTACCGACAACAACTCCAACTCTGAAAGCACTGTCCTTGCAAACTCTTCTACGGTTTCCAGCTGGGGCCTGGTATCCAATTGAAGCTGCATACGAACTGAATGCATCCTGAAATTCATGGATGGATTGCCCTGGAGTAACCCCGCAATGGCCTTGTCAAGACTATCAAGCAAGAGTGATGAATCTGGAACAGAGATCCCCATGGTTTTAGCCCGTTCTAAATGACGAAACCACTTCTGCATACCGCTTACACCCGCCATTGCCGAATCAAACGTAGTAAGACTCGTCAGGCCTCTGAGTAGCTCGGCGCGTTCATTCAAACCACCAGGTTGAAACGTGCGCAAGGTCAGGAACACTAATCCAACACAAGTCACATTCCTGTTTGCAAGGGCCTGTTCATACACGACACTCGGCAGAGCCTTTGACAACATAGCTACTCCCCTAGACTCAATCCTAACAAATGGCTCCTGTAGCATGCTATCCTTAGGCTTTCCAAGAATCTTTGCCCTATCTAGCGGCTTGGCTTTACTCCATCTGTCGTATTCAAGACGGGCTTGAGCAAGGATCTCTTGCCACCAAATGTGTGCACGCGGTGCCAAGTCTGACATTAGTGGGGTAACCTTATATATCCAATCGTTGCACCTCATAGCCGGGTTGGGCTCTGCACTTGGAGACACGAGTACTGGAAGGTCCCAGTAAGTACGCTCGCCAGGTGTGAAGTCTTTCATACCCGGCTCTCTCTTATCTATCTCCCCAGGCTTACTTCTATCATCCCCTACACAACCCAGAGGCCGACCTGCTTGCGGGCCAGGTGAATCGGGTGGAGGTCCCGCTGGCAGGCGAGTTCCACCTGGTGTCGCCGGTGAGGCATTGACCTGATGGAAGCCTATGCTCCGGGACCTTGGAGGGATCGGCACTGGAGATCTTGACTGCCTCCTACAATATCCGGTCCTAGTGCCACTCGGGGATCTACTAGCAACCCTTCTACCCGTAGGGACTATGGGTGGGGGTGGTGGAATGAAATCCTCATTCCTATGCTGAGACTCTGCAATCGAAAACGGAGAAGAGGCCTGCGCACTAAACGGATTGCAGCAACTCTGTGCTGCTAGATTATACGTCTCACCTCCGACTGCGGGGGGTGGCGGTTGGGTTTGACCTCCATGCACATCTCCGTCCTGCATTGCGAAGTACTTCGGGGACTCAGAATTAATGACTACGGCTCCTGTCTCATCCACAGTACCTGTACGCGGAACCCCATTAATCATCACCGTAACCGTGCCTACCACCCCACTATACCCAGCTAAACCCAAGCCGGCCCTAGTAACCTCAGGGATACCTGCAGCAGGCGGGTGTTTATCCCCTTGCACAGACGGGACTTCAGGGATAGGGACGGGCCTACTCCTAGACTCAGACACCTGAAACCTCTTTGCTGCAGCAGTTACTGTTGTACTTTCAACCTCCTCACGGCCAATACCACTCGAACTGACGTCCGCATTCAGTGGAAGCTGCCCGACAACTTGCACATCAGGAGTCTCCCGCAATGTCAGACTCTGAAGAGCCCTCGTGGCCGCCAGCAACTGATCGCCTGGGCCCTCTGCCGGCATCACCGGTACACTGCTGTGCTCCCCCCCCGCAAAGCTGGTCCATGGAGGCTGAAAAGTCCTAACAGTAGGTAACCAACTATCTTCCTTGGGACCCCCAAAACCTTTACCACTCTTTGGCCTTTGGTTCCCAGACCTTCGGTGGCCCCTACCTTCATCTACTGCTACCCGCTGCCACTGTACAAGATCAAACCTATCCCTACCAGACTCACCAGAAGACCTAGATCGGGCTTCCGCTACCTCGTTTCTCAGATGCTCATTCTGCTCCATCAACTGTTGAACCAATGCTTCCAGAACATCCGTCCGCGCTGAATCAGATGCTGCCGGTCGGGCACTCCTGCCTTGATGAGCTGCATCTTCCGTTTCCCACCAAGTCATAGTTGCATCAGGTTCAACTTGTGGGGCTCGACTCCCAATACCATTAAGGCGGCCCGAGCCTGACCACGCGTACTGGCCCTGCACAGGGTACTGAGCATGTGGTTGTCTTCCGCCTCTTTCACCAAGGCGACCAAGAGATCCCTCATCCCGAGGAGCTGCAGCTCCCACACTGGTCAAACCAACACGTTCGCTTCCCCTGGGTACAGCCCCATCCAGCGCAATCAACTGACTTCGATCAACAGGGACAGTGCCCTCGCCCTGTTCAGGAGATCCGTTGCCTCCTTCAGCTGATGCGAAGTCGTAATCCGGCTCAGCTGCCTCGGCGGCTTCAGCGCTCACCAGCAAATCCACCGCCTGCTGTTCGGGGGTCAAATCCCCACTCCTCCGAGTTCCACGCTGTCTCGAACCCTCATCATCGTCCCAGCGCTCTCCGGAAAACGGATTCGTTTCCTCTGTAATCCCCACTGACACTCTTCCCTGAAGATCATCATGAAGAAAACTCATCTGCTCATATGCCGGGTCATCACCAGATCCAGCAGCAGATGCCATGGCGGAGTGCTACAGGTAGCCGGGCTTGGGCTCATAACCTGCCGAAGCAGATTAGAGCATGCACGCGGACTTACACCTTTTTCCTCGGATCAACCAAACGACATGTCGTAGAGTCCTGAGCTGTACACTGCATTCTCAGACTATGACGCTACAGCAGTCTAACTTGGTACACTTCTTGATTTTTGCTGTGAAAGTCTGGGCCCCTGGGCTCTAAGAAGAAACCCCCGACCCACCGGTTTTCCAGCCTCCATGGCTACAGCCAAGCATGTTACACATGAGCACACACACAAGCTGCACAGTGCCGCTCTCCAAACAATTAGAATAGGGTTTTGGTGTATATTATATTATAGTTATAATGAGGGACCCCCCAAACCCTATTCTAACTAAAAAGGCCCCTACATTATGCCTCGGTTCACATGGTTCGAGGGCTTAACAAGTAAACAAGCGAAATGCTCAGCTAAGAGAAACCTAAACATAGACAACCATGGCACGCCATACTATGCCATACCATCATGATACAGGGGTACTATAAGAGGATCTTATTCCAAAGTATCCAGAACCTAAACCCTAAACCCTAAACCCTAAACGTGCCTTCGTCGAAACCCGTCCGAGCACCTGAACAAGTCCTAGGTTTAGGGTTTAGGGTTTAGGGTTACTTTAGCCCTTGTCTGAAGTTCTTATGACATCGTTATGATACCTATCCTGATTACAATGTGCCAAGGCGCCATATTCACCCCCGAAACCCACCCAACATCACTACAAACCGTCACTGTAAGAACCCTTGCCTAACCAATTTAGGCACCTTTTAGAAGCCTTGACCACACCTGAAGAAACCTAAACCCTAAAACCCTAAACCCTAAACCCGAAACCCTGATCCCTCCCCGACCCCTCAACCCCAGACCCTAACCTCCAAAAGGAAACGAAACCCTCCAGACGACCCTTGTGGACGCCCCTACAGGAACTCTTATGCCCAAAGACTCCCAGTAGACAAATAGCACCTATTTAGGGGTCTAAAGTCTATAAATGATACCTACTGTTGGGCCTTTTGGAGTTTTAGGGATACTAAACCCGAAACCTTAAGCCGTAAACCCTAAGCCCTAAACCCTAAACCCGAAGCCTTAAACCGATAGGAACCCTTAAAGGAATCCTGGACGGAGACCCAACCCCTGAATGGATCCAGAAACCCTGGCCCATGGGCAGGAGCAGGCAGGGGCACTAGACTGGCTCCTGGGCTGCTTTTGGGGGTTTTTAGGGGGTTTTGGGGTTGTGGGGTTGTTGGGGTTATGGGGTTGGGGTTCGGAGGTTATGGGGTTGGGGTTTTGGGGGGTTTTGGGGTTTTGGGGGGTTTGGGGTTTTAGGGTTTAGGGTTTAGGGATTAGGGTTTGGGGCTTTGGGTTTACGGGTTATGGTCTGGGGTTGACGGATTAGGACCCTAAACCCTAAACCCAAAACCGGTTTAGGGCATTGGGTCAGGCCTCAAGGGTATAGACTTGTTTTTTTTTTTTTTTTGCGCGCATGTGTGTGTGTGTGTTGTGTTTGTTAGGTGCTGAGGGTGTTCGGATTGGTGGTTTGGAGTTTGCAATTTAGCAAATAGGGCTAACTTGTAGGGTTCATGGATTGTTCTTGTCGATCCTTGGGGTGTTTGCGATACGTGCGCTCTTGCGACGTGCAGAGGTCCCAAAGTGGCCCTTGCATGAACTCTTGACCCTAAACCCTCAACTGTTATGAACCCTAAACCCTAAACCCTAAAACAAAGCTTCCTTTGGCGTGGGTGCGTTTATCCCGAGCTCATCTCGCAGAGGGCTGGTCGAGTTCTAAGCGAATTTGGGTCTAGGGTTTAGGGTTTACCCTACCTGGACCGTAGATAACCTACCTTTGTAAAGATATAAGGAAATCATAATAAGTTTCATGGGGTCCAGATACACCCCAAAGCCTTAACCCCTACCTCTAAACCATAAAAACCCGCTAAGCCCTACACCCTTAGCCCATTGTTCGTATTTGTGTTGCTTTGGTTCGGCGACTTCTGGGCTGTGGGAATCTTAGGGTTTAGGCATCGGTTTAGGGTTTAGGGTTTAGGGTTTAGGGTTTAGGGTTTAGGGTTTAGGGTTTATAGGGTTTAGGGGTTAGGGTTTAGAGTTGACTGAGTATGATCCTGAACCCAAGTAATCATGGGGCCTCAACAATACATGATACTTGTTTTCAGGATGCCGTTTTACAACCATCGTAGAATGTTCCTCCAGAGCCTGCTCCAAATGGTAATGCCTTCATACGGTTGATGATATACGTCCTGCATTACCCATACCAAGGAATATACCACAATTTTCCTGAACCCTAAACCCCTACACCCTAAACCCAAACCCCTAAACCATAAACCCTCAACCGCTTAGGGTTTTTAGGGTTTAGGGGTTGAGGGTGTAGGGTTCCCCTATGATTCGCAGCTTTGCAGCCCCAGGCTTAGCCACTTCCTCTGGCTGCCCTGGACTCTCACATTTTCTTTGTTCACACCACCCCCCGCCTACCTCGGCGGATGGGCCACTTGACAGGTTTAGGGTTTCGGGTTTAGGGGTTTAGGGTTTTAGGGTTTAGGGCTTGGGGTTTTTAGGGTTTTTAGGGTTTAGGGAAGCCCTAAACAATAAACCCAATACTCCTTGGGCTTCGGGCTGTTGCAGGCTTTCTGAATAAGGACGCAAGAGGATTCTATCGGGCTTTGAGATGTAGGTTTCGGTTCGCATCGGGAACCGAAACGATCCTAGTAGGGTTTGGGGTTGAGGTTTAGGGTTTACGCTTTGGATTTAGGGTTTGGGGTTCTATCAAAGGGGCTGTGGTTTAAGATGTGCCACCATAGACTGGACACAGCCGTATGTAACCCGTAATGCCAAGCCCTTAAACCCTTGTTCAAGGCCCAAAAGTCTGCAGAATTTCTGGAACCATCGTGATCTTTTGGCCAAACAAGCTTTTCTGTGCGGACTACCAGCATCAAAAAGCTGAACCTAAAGCCACATAAGCACCAAACGGCCCACGCCACTTTGCCCCTGTGCCGGAGAGCATCATCTAACAGGCCCCCTTTTGTGAACTTAACAAATCCTTGCATGAGCCATAACCACCATAGCTCTCAAAGTCTACCATACTTATGGTTACTAGGTTCCTCCGTAGTACCCTTTTGTACCATTGTTCTTTTTGGGTTCCCTTATTCAAACCCAATATGTAGTAGGAAAAGGTTACCCTCGCTATTAGCTGGCTACTGGGGAGCCTAAACCCTAAACCCTAAGTCCTAAACCCCAAACCCTCATTATTGTTTGGCTACTTAACCCTAATTATTAGTTGGCTACTGGGGAACCTACACCCCTAAACCCTAAACCCTAAACCCTAAATAAAGCCTAAGTCCTAAACCCCAAACCCTAATTATTAGTTGGCTACTGGGGAACCTCGGTAATGCCGGACTGGCCAGTCACGGAACGGAAGATCATCCGTTCGTTTAGGGTTTAGGCTTTAGGGTTTAGGGGTTTAGGGTTTAGGGTTTAGGGGTTTAGGGGTGTGGGGGTGTAGGGGTTTAGGGCCTGAGGGTTCCGTTGAAAGCCTCATTACCCTAAGGGTCCAAGTACCCAAATAGTAGGGTTTCAAGGTCCAAAAACCACTCAGAGTATGGATTTTGGGACTTAAAACCTTACTATTTGGGTACTCGGACCCTCTTGGTTAGTGTCGAAGCTCCAGCATCAAACTATCCTTAGGTCAGGTTCGCGATTAGAGCCTGCGGTTTAAGAGTCTTGGGGTTAGGATTTCTGGGTATTGTGGGATTGAGACTATAGCCCAAAGGGTCCGATTACCCAAATAGTAAGGTTTTAGGCCCCAAAATCCATACTCTGAGTGGTTTTTGGACCTTGAAACCCTACTATTTGGGCACTTGGACCCTTAGGGTAGAAGATCCTATAGCCATAAACCCTGATCTCAAAGAGCCTGGAATCGATGGGTTACGCTCTACTCCTCATGGAAGTTTGTAGCCGGTATTCTTAACACCGGGCGCTTCAATGAAACGAAACCCTAAGCCCTAAACCCTTAAACCAGAACCCCCTAGGGGCCGAGGGCAGCTTTTCGGATTTAGGATTACGGTTTAGGGTTTCTCCCTTAGAGGCGAAGTAAACCCTACAAAGGTTCAAGGTTCATAATTATACCATGTACGCCATTTCGGGATCCACGGTCTGGTAATTTCTGGCCCCTACCTTGTAGGGGTCGTTTAGTCTTACAGCGTTAAGATATGCATCTAGCGTCGAGGCTTGATGCTCCTGACAAAGATCTACCTAGAGTTCAGAGAGGATCTAGAAAGTAGAACCCCCCGCCCCAATTTGGGATGCCACACTCCTAAACGTCACCTTCTCGGAACGTGCTCAAGGGACCCTAAACCCCAAACCAGGTCTGCTTCGCCGTCTCTTTAGGCCACATTGCTTGGCTGACGGTCACGTGGCTGAAGTAGGAGGAGAACATAGAGTTCAGGGTATAAGGTTTAGGGTTTGGGGTTCATTGTTGAGGGTTTAGGGCTCAGGGGCTCAGGATTTAGATTTGAGGGTTCAGGGTTCAGGGTTTGCGACCTCTAAGCTCTTCCAGATCAGGAATTCATGTGTACGTGTCTGTAAATAAAGATCTTACTACTCAGAGATTCTGATTCGGGGTTCGCGAGGGTTCTACATGGGTTCCCAAGCGCTCAACGCTGAAGCGCTTGATGTTCTGAAGCTCTTGCCGACAACTCGGCTGGGCAAAAAAAGAGCTCTTACCCAGACCGCGGAGAGGAGCTACAGAAAGTAGCGCCCTGCAATTGGTACCCTATACTACTAGAGGATACTTCATAGGAAACTTCTTGAGGGATGTACTTGTTGGGGTCGCTTGGGTTGAAGCTTCTCTCCGGCTCTAAGAGGGGAGTGGGGTTCTAGCATTCAAGGTCAGGCCGTAATATAGGGACATGGACAAGTAACAGCACACCCTTGCGGTCCCTCTTTGAGTATAAGTCT